TATCTCTGCACTGAATTAATAAAGCCACTGGTTGGTAAACCATCTTCAAATAAAGATAGCCAGGTGTTGCAAGTGTCTCACTACCAAGTTACAGATCCCAGCACTTCATATATATAGTATCATGCACATTTCCTCATCCAATTCATTAATTTCTTTCTGCATCAATGATTCTTTATATTTTGTCTTCCATATTTAGTTTACTTTTAACAAACTTCAACACAAAATATGGTTCAATCTCTTCCCTTCTTATCTTTGTACATTAATTTGTAGTTTACTTAAATATCTGATACAGTACATTCCAGGACTGGACATTTCTTATTACAATTTTTTTTAATGGTTTTCTAGGGCCTGTTAAATCATTGTGTCCTTAGGTCCATTACCTCATTTTGGAGCAAATTGATATCATTATAAATAATATAAAGTCACAATACCATGGCTGGAACAATTAACCCTTTGAGGGTCGATAACCTCAATCCTGAACTCACTCTAAGGGTCAAGAAATATTAAAAAAAAAAAAAAATTTTTTTTTCTTACCAAAATCTTAAGAATAATTTTCTAAGTGTTACAGCCCCCCCCCCCCAAAAAAAAAAAAATTGCAATCAATACATACCAAGATATAGAGGCGTGAAGCTGACAGAAAGTGAACCGCTTACGACAACATCAGTGACTGTCAGTCACTCACTAATACACTATTATTTTACTTTTTTCTTTTATTTTTTAATATTTTATTTTTTCAAGTAACTTATATGTTTTATGAGACCAATATAAGACATACTGTATATATATTCACTGGTTGTATACAACACAATAACCTCACAAACAGTGTTATAATTGCATTGTTTACAAAACATGTACACACAGACCAACAATAAAAAAAGTTATTTATTATTTTTGTTCTATAGTAATATATATACACATATATAGTCAATGGACATGTTCCTAGAATTGCTAGAGCTTCTGGAAGCTTGTTGTTGTGTGTGGGTAGACTTGTAAATGTGCTAAGTCAGGATGTGGCTGGTGTCACAATGACACATTATATCATTACTCACTACCCTCACTGCCTTTGCCAACACCCATGGGGACCTATGCCTTCTTCCCCACTCCACCACCCACATGGAAATAAGTCACTTTGACTTTTTTGGGTTATCCTAGGTTCATGGTCATCAAGGTGTCTGGGTCATCCTTCCTTCCTACCTACCTTCCTTCCTTACTTACTTCTTCCTTCCTTCCTTCCTTCCTTCCTTCCTTCCTTCCTTCCTTCCTTTCTTCCTTCTGGTTCCTTGGGCATTGTTCATCACAAATT